ATTATTATTATTATTATTATTATTACCTACAGGCTAAGGAGGGAGGAACTTAGCTGAGGTGCAGCCTAATACAGTATGTGATCTCCTGTCAGCCAGAGGAACACTGAGTGAGCCTGTCTCACAATAAGGTTTTATGTTTATATATTTATGTAAATGTCCAATAATAAGTCTGTGAAGCAATTGTCCATAAATGTTATGTGTATTGCATCTGCATTGGCAGCACTGTAATTCATAGATCATTCCAATAAAGACTGAATTTGAAGGTGATTTTTTAAAAAACATTTTATTTGAACAACAAAAAAGATACAATATAAACAAGAGAACATTTAACATATCAATTACATCGTCAGGGGTACATATTACAATACAAATACACTTCATGAAAAAAGTTTAAACAGAGTAAATAAAGATAAATATTCTTGTTTTTACATTGTGAAATAGTCTGCAAATACGCCTTTACATCTATTTTGACTACATCAAGCACAGGACTCTTCCCAGACCATTTCACTTTATGTATATAGTAACGTGCAAGTATAATATTTAACTCAATTATGAAATATATTTCCATATTATTTTCAATGGGATTAAAGTTTAACATTACTTCTGTTTCTTTAAAAGTTATATCAACATTAGCCTGTTTTTGTGCAAATCAGTCCAGAAAGCTTTTGCAATAGGACCTAACCAAAATATATGTTGTATGGTTCCAGAGCTACTTTCACAAAAGACACAGTTATCATCTATAGTAATTTTTAATCTCTGCACAACATAACATCACTTTATTAGCCCTATACAATTTCTTGCATTAGGAAATCACCTTTTCACATACGCCAGCTTGCTCTCGGGGGCCCAATGGAGTTGGATTCCTCTGCCAGCCGCGGGATTTGAACCGACAACCGTCCAGCCACAGGTGCCGATCCGTAGCCACAGAACCACTGCTCCGCTCCAAAATGAATTACGATGCATTGGCCGGGAATCGAACCCGGGCCTCCCGCGTGGCAGGCGAGAATTCTACCACTGAACCACCAATGCGCTACGATACGATATGAACTTGACATCATCTTGTTTTCCCAATCAATCAGTTTCCAGATAAAGGTATTCCAAAATACTTTAACTGACAGGATATTGTTAGCTTGCAATAGAAATCTTACAAATTTGTTATTACATCCATAACTTCCTTGTGGGATAATAATAACAATAATAATAATAATAATAATATAAGCTGTACAATCTTTCATAGTTTCTGATGAGATACTATTGCAATTCCTTGATTTGAAAGTGATTTCAGTTTGGAACTGAACGCTACAACTGAAAAAAAAAAATGTTTGCAGCGCGTCTGCGTGAAATGAGCATGCGCGTTTCTCCAGGAGCGCTACAATGTGCGCAGGCGCAGTATCACTCCTCCAGCTCAGATTCCCGGGTTGGTTGATTTACAAAGGGTGAAAAAAGCATTTATTTTTTACGTTGTGAATTAGGAAACGGGTTTGTTTTCTTTAGAATGTTATAATCTAACAGAATTATTTTTGTTGTGTTAATGTACTTTATGTGTGCGTTTTAAACATTTCTGACCTCCGCGGTCGTTGCCGCAGGCGCGGGCAGTGTAGGTTCCCATCTGAAGCGCCACAAGGTAAACATTTCGAAATCTTTGATCATTTTACCGCACTTCTCGGGGTCTCATGATGACTTTTCTGTATCAGAAGACAGGCCCCAATGTTCTTCCGGATCTCTTGGTTTCTCGGCATTGTCTCCTAAAGGTTATTAATATATAAAAATGTAGTTTTCCGGTGTTTGTGTCCCTGAATCACTTTCTTGTTAGTCCACCTATAGACAGAAAATAAAGGTCTGTGTATGAAAGGGCATATACTAATAAAATATTTACGCGTAGGGATATTAATTTCACTTATAAAACCATCGGACGTATCAGCGGACAACGGAATAAATAATTGGGGTTTAAATTGTTTCGGTAGTATTTTGTAATTTTTTAGATTTGTTAATGCAAGATCTGCAGCTTATTGCTTTCTAGGTTATATTGGGCTAAACGTAGTTTCGCGGGAAATGGTTACCTTATTTTTACCTTTTTTCTTCAGATCTACAGTCAGCTTTATTAGAGTTTATGAGACCGTATAACCGTATATAGTGTCTTTTTGTATATGGTCTCCGTACTTGTGCTCTGCTGCAGAAAGTTTTCAGAAACTTTTTCCTTTTAACCTTTTTCCTTACTGTGTTTTTCAGAGACCAAACAGGTGACACGGTTTTTAAATAGATTCCTGGTTTTACGGAGTTGTATCCGTCATTTGGTCAGGGACTTGGGATTGGGAGCTAAAATCCCAATAAAAATTAAAAAATGATACAGCAGAGGAGATATCACAACCTGTAGAAGAAAATAAGGATTTCTGCTACATCCTTTAAAGACAGGGATAGCTTTAAGTGACACTAAGAGATTCCTCTTGCAGCAGTCTCTGGACCTCACTCTTTTCCCCTTCCTCCAGTGGGATTCGGGAGAGGGGGGTGGGACAGGTAGAGATGCCCGAGGTGCCGAAGGAAGAGGAGCAGCTGTCCCACGCGGACTGTATCTGCTCCGTTTGCCTGGAGATCTTCCTGGAGCCGGTCACCCTACCCTGCGGCCACACCTTCTGCAAGACGTGTTTCCAGCAGACGGTTTACAAGGCCAGCATGTGCTGCCCGCTGTGCCGCAAGAGGGTGTCCACGTGGTGCCGTCTGCACAGCCGCAACAAGACGCTGGTGAACGCGGAGCTGTGGAGGAAAGTGCAGGCCGCCTTCCCCCTGCAGTGCCAGCGCAAGCTCAGCGGGCAGGACGCCGACGACAGCTGCAGTGAGTCTCGCCCCTTTGCCGCTCTTGCCCAGTCACCTGGGGACCTGGGGTGTTCTGGAGGAAAGAAGAGGGTTTAATAATAATAATAATAATAATAATTGCTTTCACTTATATAGCGCTTTTCTGGACACTCCACTCAAAGCGCTTTACAGGTAATGGGGACTCCCCTCCACCACCACCAATGTGCAGCATCCACCTGGATGATGCAAAGGCAGCCATAGTGCGCCAGAACGCTCACCACACACCAGCAATCAGTGGGGAGGAGAGCAGAGTAATGAAGTCAATTCATAGATGGGGATTATTAGGAGGCCATGATTGGTAAGGGCCAATGGGAAATTTGGCCAGGACGCCGGGGTTACACATCCGAAGGACGGTTTATCGCTGTCTTCAGTGATACAGGGTTGATGCCAAATAAAAATACCGTTGAATTGTTTAAGACCTTAAATTTGTACCCTGAAAAGAAGATTGAAGTTCACGATCCAGACCTCAGCTGTAACGAAAACCAGATCTGTGGTACAGGATCAGTGCTGGGTACCACCACTGTGTATAAACAGGGTTCCGAATGCAATGAAAATACCCTGTGTCCTTTTGGTACTACACTTCATAGCAGATCATCATATAATATTGAAATCTTTCATTTTGGTCTGGTATTGGTAAGGTACTGTTTTTTATGCCTTTGACAGCTCTGGTTCCCCTACGAACAATCAGCAAACCTGGTGAACTGCGGGAGGAATATGAGGCCCAGTTAAGTAAGGTAAATGCTCATCATTTACTGTTCTAAACAGAACCCTAGAAAATAATATAAAGATCTAAGCTTGCACACTAGATCTGCCGGTTAGATCTGAAAAGAAATGCAGTTGACACAAAACTGTTGAGTTGGTCATAGCAGACGGCGAAACATCGGAGGTGTGACGTTTTTGCTGAAATGGGACTTGATTGTATTGTGAATTACAAATTAACAAGTGGCGCATTTCCAACAGTGCATTCTTTAAATCCTTTGAGGAACCTCCTGAAACGTATTTTTATGCAGAAACCGTGTGGCAGACTAGTGCCGGAAATGACCCCATGCTCAGCATTTTTACATCCAAAATAAAAAGGGATTTGGTCAGCTTTTATGCATGCTTTGTACCAGTTTCCCTCTCTGATAATAGACTTGATTGTGTCACTGAGTGGATCTGTCTGTACTTCTGCCCATGGCCGTGTCCTCTCCTGCTCCCTTGCCTCCTCGCCTGCCCGCGCAGCTGGCGGAGGAGAAGAGGGCCCTGGAAGAGGCCGAGAGGCAGGCGAGCGAGGAGTACATCCGCAGGCTGCTGGCCGAGGAGGAGGAACGGCAGGCAGAGGAGAGGAGGAGGGAGGAAGAGCAGCAGCTGGAGCACGACGAGATGCTGGCGCGCCTGCTGAGCCAGGAGCTGGTGAGTCCCAGGGAGCAGGGTGGGGACACAGTGAAAGTTTCCGGTTATCACATGTAGAATATCGATCAATCACTAATTTATTCTTCACGAGCACGGAAATCGCTTATAAAATAATCCGGGGCCAGGTATTTGTAGTTTTTTTCACGTATGGAAAATCTTTAGCATACTTTTTTTTGGGGTCTACAGTATGTAACGGGTAACTTGGAACTTTGTAAACAACTTTTATTAATATAATGCTTCAAAAACACCTGAATGAAAGTCACTAGTTTTGCTCTAACCTTGCTGCAAATATAACTGCAGAAGATAAGTGTAAAACTCCATGCAAACTGTATAGTAAAAATATGGGATTAATTTAGCAAAAGATGAGATGTTTGTAGCAATGGTTTTTGATAGAAAGTTTGCTGAAATGCTACTATTAAATGTTGAATTTTTACTGAATAGTGTACCCTGCTTTGCTTTTTGTTGTAGTACTTTTGGAATGGAAATTGTTAAATTGAGACCTATTATATTGAGGTCAAGAACACAAAGTGATTCTTTACTCAGAGTGTTGTGGAACAGTTTGCCCAGGCTTGTTGCTAAAGTTCACTCCAACAGATCTTCAAGGAAAGATCTGAAAAAGATCCTCAGTTCCATTACCTAGAAGTGAGCAAGAATACCCTCCTCTCCTTTGGAACCTTTCTTAAGTCACTGATTTTTTTTTTAAAGCTAGAACATTTGTGTTTGCTTCTTCAGAACTCCAACCAGGTTTTCCAACCCCAGGGAAACCGCACGCAGGTTGCATCACAAGTGCAGCACCCTTTGGTAAAAAAGAAGAGGAAAAGTGGTGGAGACATTGAGAAGTAAGAATAATTTATCATCGTCCAAAGGTTTTGTTACGGACCTGAAGTGAGTGTAAGAGAAAAGTACTAGTTTTCAGAACATAACTTTCTCATAAAACGGAAGTACTGTAGTTTTCAAGTCATACCTCTTTCATATAAGAGGATAATTTCACTCCAGAAAAGACGATAACAAAATTGAATAAAAAAGAATGCGCAGTAAACTGACAAATATGTGTTTTTTTGTTGTTGTGAAAACCTTTTGTTTTCAGGTACCTGTCTCCTATATCGCACCGATCTTCAACCTGTCATGTGCATCCTGAAACAGGCCAGAGCGCAGGCTTGTCTGCCAATAAGGTATGGGAATCACAGTGCACTTTACAAGACTCGCACTACTGAGCATTTTATAGTTTAGAACACTGAGAACACTTAAAACACATCTATATTGTGGAGAAGGTCTGATTTGTACTTAATACAATAATTAACTATTTAAATACATAGGAATCTCTGTGTTATTTAACTCCAGTAACCTGTTGAATGTTTTTTTTTTAATTTCCCATTTCTTTGTGGGAAAGTGGGAGTGAAGGGGCAAAAGAAACCTCTTTAGAGTAAGAGAGCAGACATGTGCTTGTTCAGTGGTCTTCACTATATGAACACCGGAGCTAGGTTCTGAGTGATACTAGCTCAATCAATTCAACTACTTGATTGGAAATAGAAAATTGATGTTTAGTATCAGCAGATTGATAGTGTTTCTTTTGTTCAAAGTTGATCAAGATAGGTCTATGACCTCCTCTGACCTACACCCAGTATGTGCCTTCTCATATTTCCAAGTGTACTTTCTCATTATGAAGGAAGAACCAACTGCACCGTATGGGAAACCATCCCTGCAAAGCTTATTGTCCAGGTTATAAGTGAACTGGTCTCCTATTTCATACTGCAGTGGTATAATGGACTGCATATCTGTTTTGTGTGGGAATGTAGAATTCTTTACTCAAGTTTTTGTAGTTGAAAAATATTAAAAGTATTGGTAATTTATAATGACATTTCATGAACATGTGTTTCATCATGGCACGGCAACATAAATGAACGTATCTGTATTTTTCCCCATAAGGAAAACATCAGTTTCAGTGGACCAGTTTTTAATGAACAAGGAATTCCAAAATTGAGCCCTCAAGCCAAATCCCGGTTCTCTGAGAGGACGTGTGGGGAACTGGTAGAAGAACCTTCCATGCCAGAACTGACTTTCTGTGGCAAGATGGACTGCTGCAGGGATCTTTCAGAGACACCGATAAAGTCCGAAGACATGCAGTGCAGAGACACAGAATGGGGCCCTGAGCAGAGCACATATGTCTTTAATAATGGTGGGTGCAGCACGGATTTGAGGAGCTCCTTCGAGAGCATGGGGACTGCAGAGAGAGATGGTGAATTGAGCGCTGACACCCGTCAGGGTCCCCACACCAAGACAGATGTCCGGAAGAGGAAAAGCAAGGAGTGCAGGCAAGAAATAGACAGTGAGTTGGCAAGTAAAAGGTTGAAAGCAGTGGCCATTGACTTCGAGTCTGGGGGGGTATCCGATTTCCCAGTCGATGTTTCGGGCATCCAGGAGCAGATGAAATTGGAGGAGCAGATGTTGAAGAGGCAGCAGCAGGAGGAGGAGGACCGACTGCTTGCCCTAAAGCTGCAGAAACAGCTCGACCAAGAGAGTAAAGCTGTGAACAGAAAGAAGGGATCTCCAGATGAGTACCCCTTCCGTGAGAAGTTGCGGCAGGCCCACGGTAGCGGCTCAGGTGACTCGGCCACTGGGAGCAGTCAGGGGTTGAGCTCAGGGACTCGGAGGTCACGGTCTTGTCCCTCTGCACAACAGAAAGAAGCAGACACTGTAACGGAGAAGTCAAGGCATTCTGATTGTGATTCCTTGAGAGATGCAGCAGGCAAGACGAATTCGGCTATGACTGCTACACCGACGACTAGCTCAAAATATACCAGGAGGCAGATGACCCTCTTGAACATGTTCCAGAGCCAATCAAGATAACGCCTCTTCAGGAAGGGATATCAAAGAAAAGTGCTCCTTCACTAGAATGTCATTCCACTTGTCCCTTTGTCGTTCCAGTTTTATCAGTTTCCAAAATAAGATGATCGTCTTTATTTCTGTTGGTATTTGAAGCATGTAAAACAGGATCAAGACACTGTTTGCTGTTTAAAATGAAACTTCATATCTTCTTCCAGAAGTTTGAGAAATCAAACTATAAAATGAATTGTAAAAAGTACTTCTCTGTTTTTTTTTTGCTGTCTTGAATAATTTTGTTAATAAAAGACTACATTTCAGGAAAGTGAAAGGAAATATTAGTTGCTTATTGAGATATTTAAATATCTTAATATTCATTCATAAGATTAATATGATAACTGTAGAGCAGATTCTAAATTTAGGGAAGGAACTTGTCTTTGGGGAAAGAAAGTTTAGAGAATCACTCTCTGTATCCTTTTCAATATTACAGGTTTTCCAATGACAAGTTCCTGAATTGCAAGGTGTTACATTTATGGGGTAATTGTTGGGCTGCATTCAGGTTATCAATTTAAAAAAGACAGTGACTTCTGACAGTGGGTTAGTATTGTTAAGTATTTGCTTAAATGGGTTGAAAGCTGAACTAGTTTTGTTTTCCAGGGTTTAAGTAAACTCTAACCCTTTGTTATACAGTTACTACTGTTATAATATGCCACATTGAAATTATCTTGCAATCGAGAAAAAACTGTATAGTGCCATGTATTTTATTTCACATTTTTTTACTGTGTACATCCTTTGTACGCTGTTGATCAGTTTTACTCTGTGTTAACCAGTTATTGCTGAAAAATAGAACTATGAAAAATATATTCTTTTTTTTCCATATTCCAAAGATGTTTAGCAATAAAGGATGTAGTTTGAGAAACTTTCATTGTATTTCTTATATTTTATATTTTACATGGATATGAAGATAGACTTGGGTTTTAGATGGGGAAAATATAGCATTACATTAGAGAAGAATTGCCTCCAGGCAATAAGACTGCTATATAGCCAACCTGCAGTTCCCTAAGCAAATCCCCCGTAATGGCTACATAGGTATACAGTTTTCACTGTATTCTGCAAAGTGCACTACTTGGACATAATATATTGCATACACCCTGGATACATAGCAGCTCTAAATTTATTTTTTGTCTGAGTTTTTTATTCAATTTCTATTACATTATTATCTATTATTATGTAAGCTTATTTTGTAACCTTAATTTTGTGATTTTTATAATTGCCAGCAACTACTGCTGCGTGCTGTATTGTGTATTTGATAAACGCTGAAGAAGTAGGTTTAAGACTGACATAGTAATGCCGAGTAATATGTTGTTGAATTTTGGACATTTTTCTAAAACATTAGCTGCAGGGCATTCCAAAGTTACAGTTTCAGAATACTGTAATTGCTAACTAGTTTTTTTTTTATATTTTTTTTAAGAGAGATACTGTACTGTAAGACTACAAAAGAGAAGAGGGCATTTTGATCAATTGTACACCAGAACATATAATACAGCACCGCACAGGCAAAATAAAAATGGGAAAGCTCAGCAAAGGCACTTATTAAAATCATGAATTAAACTAAATGTAAGATTTTTAGTAAAAACTAAGGTATTGAGTTCCAAAGGTTTGGTGCTTTATGTGACAACGGCTCTGGTCCACCCTGTGGAGCCTGGTCTGCAGCAAAGAGAGAAGGCTCTGGTCCAGCCTGTGGAGCCTGGTCTTCAGCACAGGGAGAAGGCTCTGGTCC